GGCAGCCCACTCCAGTATACTTGCTTGGGAAATCCCATGGACAGAGGAGCCTTACAGGCTACAGTCCATGGGGTCGCAAAGAGTTGGACATAACTGGGCAACTAAACAACAGCAACTATGAGAGAATGTACATGTTAGCTCTGTTACTGGATACCTCATGTGATAGTGCTGAATCTTACATTTTCTACCTGTAAAATTAAGGTGTTGCGCTAAGTTGTAGACTAATAGTGCTGGAAGAAATCTTGAGAGAGCCTCCAGCTGAACTTCCCCTTTTGCAGACATCAGGCTGAGGCCTGCTTCTAGGAGAATGTGCTGGTGTGGGCTTCCACAGAATGTCCCAGCACATTTTTGCCCCTCTAACTTTATCTCTGGTGGTTTTGGACTTCCAGACAACCTGTTCTTTATCATACCTGGGCCAGGTGTGGCTGTGTTCTTACTTATCCACCCATTAGGAGTGAAAATATGTCATTTAGCTGATCTTAAAAATGTTCTACTTGTGGAGCTGAAGTTCCATTCTTTTTAAAGTGATTGATAGAATCATGGCAGGAGGGATTTCTTCATCATGAGTGAACTTGGTGATGGAGCTCTCTTAGGGTTAATTTAAATGGAAGAGCAGGGAATAGTTCACTTGGGCTCATTTTCCAGTTTTTAGAATGTTGTCCTTTTCTAGCAGAATCTATTTTTAAGCTATTGACCCAGGTCTCACCAGACATTCTTCTTGTGATTTGGTTTCTTCTGGTTATTACTTAATTCTCCCCCAAAGGAAAACACCAGGAGATCATGAGAACATGCTGCAGCCCCTGCTGTTGGCACCACAGAGTCTGGGCAAGGGTGGGGTGTCACAGGGACAGGAGAGCCCAGGGAGGTACCAGGCCTGTGTACTCGGGCCCCATATCCAACCATGTGAACTTGAGGATGAAGTCTCCTCTGTACAAAGGCGTAAGAGAAGAAGCTTCAACAGCTTGGCGTAGGAAGCATAAGCACCCTCCACCAATGCTGGTGGGAGTGTGAATTAGCGTCACCTTGCAGGAGGGCAGTCTGGCACTAGATCAGAATACAAAATGTCCATATCCTTGACCTGCAGTTCTACTTCTAGGAATTTACAAGATTTACTACAGATTTACATATGTGTTCAAAGTGACCTATGCACAAGGATTGTCACTGCAGCATCACTTATAATGTTAAAACATTTGAAAACAAATCAATAGAGGGTTGTAGCACATCCATGCAAACTAATGGTCTGTATCTTTTAATAAAAGTGAGACAACTCTGTAAGAAGTGATTTGGAAAGGGCTCCTAGATGGCCTATTAAGGAATTGTTAACAAGGTCTAGGTGAGCAGATGTATGAAAAGAGAAGTGTGACACCTGTGAACAGAGCTGAAGCTTTCTTTGCAGTAGATTTTGCAGACAAATGTGACAGAATGTGGACTTCCCAGGTGGCTCAGTGGTAAAGAATCCGCCTGCAGTGCACGAGTCGCTGGTTCGATCCCTCAGTCGAGAAGATCCCCTGGAGAAGATCCAGTATACTTGCTTGGGAAATCCCATGGACAGAGGAGCCTTACAGGCTACAGTCCATGGGGTCGCAAAGAGTCGGACATAACTGAGCAACTAAACAACAGCAACAATGAGAGAATGTACATGTTAGCTCTGTTACTGGATACCTCATGTGATAGTGCTGAATCTTACATTTTCTACCTGTAAAATTAAGGTGTTGCACTAAGTTGTAGACTAATAGTGCTGGAAGAAATCTTGAGAGAGCCTCCAGCTGAACTTCCCCTTTTGCAGACATCAGGCTGAGGCCTGCTTCTAGGAGAATGTGCTGGTGTGGGCTTCCACAGAATGTCCCAGCACATTTTTGCCCCTCTAACTTTATCTCTGGTGGTTTTGGACTTCCAGACAACCTGTTCTTTATCATACCTGGGCCAGGTGTGGCTGTGTGCTTACTTATCCACCCATTAGGAGTGAAAATATGTCATTTAGCTGATCTTAAAAATGTTCTACTTGTGGAGCTGAAGTTCCATTCTTTTTAAAGTGATTGATAGAATCATGGCAGGAGGGATTTCTTCATCATGAGTGAACTTGGTGATGGAGCTCTCTTAGGGTTAATTTAAATGGAAGAGCAGGGAATAGTTCACTTGGGCTCATTTTCCAGTTTTTAGAATGTTGTCCTTTTCTAGCAGAATCTATTTTTAAGCTATTGACCCAGGTCTCACCAGACATTCTTCTTGTGATTTGGTTTCTTCTGGTTATTACTTAATTCTCCCCCAAAGGAAAACACCAGGAGATCATGAGAACATGCTGCAGCCCCTGCTGTTGGCACCACAGAGTCTGGGCAAGGGTGGGGTGTCACAGGGACAGGAGAGCCCAGGGAGGTACCAGGCCTGTGTACTCGGGCCCCATATCCAACCATGTGAACTTGAGGATGAAGTCTCCTCTGTACAAAGGCGTAAGAGAAGAAGCTTCAACAGCTTGGCGTAGGAAGCATAAGCACCCTCCACCAATGCTGGTGGGAGTGTGAATTAGCGTCACCTTGCAGGAGGGCAGTCTGGCACTAGATCAGAATACAAAATGTCCATATCCTTGACCTGCAGTTCTACTTCTAGGAATTTACAAGATTTACTACAGATTTACATATGTGTTCAAAGTGACCTATGCACAAGGATTGTCACTGCAGCATCACTTATAATGTTAAAACATTTGAAAACAAATCAATAGAGGGTTGTAGCACATCCATGCAAACTAATGGTCTGTATCTTTTAATAAAAGTGAGACAACTCTGTAAGAAGTGATTTGGAAAGGGCTCCTAGATGGCCTATTAAGGAAGACAACTAGATGCAGACCAGTAGCTGTATGAATATGCTATTTGTGTAAAAAAAAAAAAAAGATAATATGTATAAAACAAAATATGTAGGCACAGAATCTCTTTGGAAGATTATACTGCAGGAGAGACAAAACTTTTCCTCTACCCCCTTAGAGTCTCTATTTAGGCTACAGCATTGAGTTGTCAGAAGACAGATTGACAGGAGAAGTGCAGACAGATTTTATTTTTATGAGTACATGGGGGCCTTCCAAGGAAAATGAAGACACCTAAGGCCCTCAGGATCTGAACATGCCTGCTTTCCAGCTTCACTAGCCACACTGACCTCTCTTCTGCTCCCCAAATCTGCCCTTCTTGCCTCTATGCTCTGAGATGGATATTCCTGTTCCATGAAATTTCTTCTCCCAGCCTTGCCATGACTACTCATTTCCATCCTTCAGGTCTCAGAGTTTGTCTGAGATAGTGTCCCTTCCAAGTTTTTCTCTGCCTTATATCATTATCAACATGCTTTTTTTTTTCTTCTTTCAATGCATATCACAGTTTTTGATAATGTATTGGTGGATGTGTCTTCCCCCACTGGATTTTAAGTCCCACGAGGGGTAGGGTTCTTGTTTATCTTGTTTGTCCCTCACTTTGGCTAAATCCCATTTGAAGTAGGGTGTGAGCACTGGTGTGCAGGGCTTCTTTCCAGGTTTAACCTCTGCTGCCCCATCATTGCTCCCAAAGGTGAGCAGGGAGCTTAGCTTTAACCCCAGGCTCTTCCATTTACCCATCTTTGGTGCATCCTCTTTCTTTTTCATCTCTAAATTAGACTAGTAAAATTTTTCTTTCCCAGTTGTAAGGATTATTTGTAAAAGGTTTACAATGTTTATGTGAAAGTGTTAGTCGCTTAGTCATGTCCAACTCTTTGTGACCCTCTGGACTGTAGCCGGCCAGGCTCCTCTGTCCATGGGATTCTTCAGTCAAGAATACTGAACAAGGTAGCCATTCCTTTCTCCAGGGCATCTTCCTGACCCAGGGATCGAACATGGGTCTCCTTCATTGCGGGCAGATTCTTTACCATCTGAGCCACCAGGGAAGCCCAGTGGTTATATAGTAGGTTTTTTTTTTTTTTCAAGTCAGTTCCTCCTCCTTTGTGTAGCTGAAATTAGCACAAAATTATCCTGAGAAAATGTTGGCCTTGATCTTACTCTGGTTCCTTTGCGCCCCCGTCACCAAGAATACATGTATTCTCCCACTCATTCCTTCAGAGATTTATTCTATGTAAGGACCCAAGTAGTCCTTACTTAATGTGGGACTCTGGTTCATACCAAGACATCATCCCAGGTCAGTCTCCCCAGAAAGCCAACACTGAGCCAGAGGTGCATGCGTCATGTTTATTGGGAGTGTGGGTTGCTAGATGGGGTGCAGGATGTGCACCCTCACTGCAGTCTCAGCCAGACCTCGGCTGAGGCCACGGGAGCTCACAGTGAATGGAGGCAAAGGGCCCGGTCCGTCTGCCTCTGTGCTGACCTGTTGTTGGGGACAGATGACCACTGAGATGGGGACATGACCCATGACAGGTACTCTCTTTAGCTGAGGGGATTCTGGGAAACTGCCAGCATCTCCAGCTGCTGAGAGAATGTGCTTGAGCCAGAAAGAAGGGATATGGGCACAGCTGGTGCCTCCTCTGGACACACCTTGGAGCAGCCTTGGCCTTTACAGACAGTAGTACCAGTCTTGCACTTGTGGTTCTAGGCAGACCTGGTTCCCGTCCTGTCCTAGTCACTTTTCTGCTGTTTTCTTGACAAGTTTCTTCACGTCTGTAACTGAGTGATGCCTCAGACCTCAAAAACTTTCCTCATTGTTTACTGAGAAGTGTTTTGCATGGTTGTAGAGGAGCTTAAAGTGAGATGAAAAATGTCAACATGTTCAAAATAGCAATGAACACTCATCCACATGCCTTAGTGCTATACGGTGGCCTTGGGTAGGTGAAATAATGAAACGGGGTGTTGGGTGTAGAAGTCCCACTTAGACTGTGCAGAGCTGTGCAGTTGGGGGGCAGCAGCTCTGTCATTTACATGGTGCTACTCTCACTTCCCAATGCTCAGTGGGCGACCAGACACTGCCCATCTGTCCTCCTTAAGAAGTTGGGCGTGTTTCCCGCATGCATGGCCTGACTCTGGCACTCTCTCCCTGCAGGTGACGCAGAAGTACTCCCTGGTCATCGTGCAGGGCCACCTGGTCTGCGAAGGGCTCCTGCTCTTCGGCCAGCAGCACTTCTACATCTGCGAGAACTTCACGCTCTCTCCCGTGGGTGATGTCTACTGCACCCGCCACTGCTTGTCCAAGTGAGTGCCCCTCCAATCCTGGCAGATTCTGCCCTGACCCCAAGCTGCCTTCTCAGCCACCCCACGCCTATGCCTCCCACCTCGTTCTTTCTATGGGCTCGGGTTTGGGCCAGAAACTGAGCCATGAGGTAAAAGAGAAGAACCTTAAGGCATCAGCATCCATGACTAGGATCCCCCAAAGCTAAAATCTGGAGCAGTTAACCATACAGCAGCTCCTCAGCTCTCCTGCTATGAAATGCACCACAGGACAAAAGGGATCACTCTTTAGGTTATTTGGATAATAGAATCCAGTCCCATCAGTGTACTTATTCAACAACTTTTTTTTTAATTGGAGTATAGTTGATTTACAATTTTGTGTTAAATACTGCTGAAAAATAATGTATATATATGCATAACTGAGTCAACAACTTCTTGCTTGTTGATCCTTATGCAAGACATCAGGCACTGCCTCTTTATCCCTGCAAGGCCCATAATACAATCAGCAGCATATACAGGTTCTTTTGGAAAGAATTTGGAACACACTATCATCCTATCATCAAGGGACAAAATACATGTTATGTGAGGACTCTTCAGGGTTCATTCACACTTGGAGGGATGATATGTGGCTGGTATGGTGAGGGACAGCTACTTGGAGAAGTGAGCTAAGATTTGGGTCTTGAAGGATGAGTGAGATTTGGGTTGACATTTGAAGTCATTTTTATACCAACTAATACCAGAGATCTTTGGCAGGAAATTCTGAAGTTCTCTAGGATCAAATGTATTGATAGTTGGTGTATTTGGGTTCAGTCAGCAGCCCTTATTGAATAATTCTCTAGTGTTTATGAAGTATTGCCATTCAAAACCAAATTGATTGTGTTTGCACTTTTGCTAGTTATTGTCAGTTGTATGCTTACATCACTTGTGAAGAAATTTAGATGCCAATTTCTTTTCTAGTTAGCCAAAGCTCAAGTGATGACAAGATAACCTCTTAGCCCAGTGGCTCTCAAGCTAAATTACATTGACTCACCTGGAGGACTTGATAAAATAGACTTCTGGGACCCACCATCATCCCAGTTTCTAAGTTGATAGATCTGGGTTAGGGCCTAAGGTTTTACCAAATTCACAGCTAATGCTCATGCTACTGGTCTGGGACCACATTTTGAGAACCACTATTTAAGACTATTGACAGAGGAACAAGAGTCTCACCTGCCAATAAGCAAGAATTTTAACTCCCAGGTGTCATATTGTTTCCAGCCTATGTGAAGAAGCAAGAATTTAAGGATTGTGGAAGGATAGATGTCAGCCCACCCTCCTTTGATTTAGGTTTGCTTTAAAATGCTTGGCCTTCTTCTGTCTGCTAACTTCCATCTTTTATCCATACCAAATGTTCACTGATTGCAGTGAATCTTCTATGCTTTTTCAAGGCAGGCATATAATTAATACTTGGCACACTCATCTCATTTTATTGCTCATGTTTTATTGATACTGATCAATATGGACAATGGGTCTGCAGACTCACCTTTCTGAGAGCTGATGAAAGCTTTCTACTCCACCCATATGCATGGAGTGCCCATGAAATGACTCGCATAATCCATTGCTTCACTCTCCACCTCTGGTTAGTGTTGGATAAGATCTTATTGATTAGGTAAATTGTGTTTATGAGGTGCATGTAATCATGGTCCAATTGACTATATCTGCACTTTTAACAGACACCCAGTTGTTAGGTTGGATGTACTCAAGTCTCAAAATGTCCTTTTCTAAAATGCAAGTAGCAGAGTAGTGAGAATGTTTAACTACCTTAGAATTGCATAGGTAATTTTAGTCACTATACCTCAAAGAAGCGTTTGTTAAACCAGACAATGTTTTCTCTCTGAGCCCTTGTCTACTACCTGAAGAAAATGCTGGCACTTATGGAGATGTGGTTCTCAGAGATGAGCCATTAGATCATGTGAGATCAATGGAGATTAAGTCTTATTTTGACCATGAAGACTAAGGAAGATATATAAATAAGCCAGTTAAAAATAAAGCTAAGTCAACTCTGAAATGTTTCTCTAAAAGACTGCCATCAATTTGAGTATAGTTGAGCCTTAGACCTTGAAAGAGACTCCCTGATGTACCATGAAAACTTCCCAAATAAAACTCAAGAACACTGCCAATCCTCCAACAGTTATTGGACTCAGGTACTTTGTAACTTTCCTCAGAAAGCAAGACCCTTTCTAGAAGGTTATATTTTGCTTTGAGGGAGATTCCTTCTTGGCTGAATAGGGTAACTGTGTTTTCCGTGCAACTAGTTTTCTGGAGCTGTTGTATAAAGTATCAAAAACTGGGTGGCTTCTTAAAAAAGAGAAATTTATTATCTCTCAATTCTGGAAGCTAGAAGTCTGAAATGAAGGTGACAGCAGGGCCGTGCTCCCTCTATAGCTTTAGGGGAGGATCCTTCCTTGCCTCTTCAAGCTGCTAGTGTTTCCTGGCCATCCCTGATGGTCCAAGGCTCGTAGACACATCTCTCCAGTCACATGGCCGTCTTCTCCCTGTGTGTGTCTGTCTCCATGTCTAAGTTTCCCTTTTACTGGAGGATAGTAGTCTTACTGGATTGGGATCTATTTTCATGACCTCACTTTATTACCTCTGTTATTTACCTATTTCTAAGTAAAGTTACATTCTGAGGTACTGGGGATTAGGACGTCAACCTACATCTTCTGGGGGACACAATTCAACCCATGACAGTGGCGGCCAAGCTCACAAGTTATAGCGTTTGATTCATTTGGTGGGAATCCAAACCATCCAACTGGCTTTTTATGATCGGTGCTTTTAGTCAGCAGTTTTAAGGCATCAGCTCTCTGTTTAATTTCATTCAACAAATACTTATTGAAAGTCTGTCTTATACCAGCACTGGGGTAGACTCCACAGATACACAGCTCGGTCGGATGAGGGCTGAGTCCGGTAGAGTTTGCGATCTAGAGATGATTTGGGTATAAATTCCAGGTATAAACTGGTAATTGGGTTTGTCCCATACAAATGTGGGACAAATCAAAGTATGTTTTAATCTGAAATCCACTTCCATTACCAACGACCCAGTCAATCAACGTCATGATTATCATTTAGTGTCCTGTGATTTCCCTAGTTAAGAATATCATATTAAAAGTTACACTATGACCATGTTGTCTGAGACCGTGTTGAACAGGGACTGTTTAGTAGAGGCTCTTCATCTTTCTGCCTCATGTTTCAGGAACTTGAAACTTGTCCGTACCTAACTACACATCTCTTTCACTTTTTCCCCACCGCATCACCAACCCATTTCTGACCCCGATACCCAGAGAGCCTTCTCACACTTACGTCTGCACCCTGTGTCACTGTCTGTCCTGAAGGTGACCCCTTTGCCTTGTGTCCCCTCCTCTGGTAAAGCCAATGTCCCAGATTACCCCTCAGCGCAGGGCTGACACAGTCAGGGTTTATCAGGTAAGTGGGTGCTGGCACATCCCCCGATGTGTCCCAGAAACTCCGGTTCAGGCAGGTGAGCAAGCCCTCACTGGACACCCTCTCACTGCACGTATTGATTTCTTTCCAGCATTAGCGACCCATTCATCTTCAACATGTGCAGCAAAGACAGGTCCTCTGACCATTACTCGTGCCAGCGCCACAGCTACGGTGATCTCAGGGAGCTCCGACAGGCACGCTTCCTCCTGCAGGTGAGACCTGGGAGGGGCCCAGAGGAAGGACCCTCCCTTCCCTAACCCTAACCCTAAGACCTGATGGTGTTCAGATGCCATCGAGGCCCCATCTGAGTGGGAGGGGCACACCTCCTTGACCCCTTCACCCATGCACAGCCCAGGGTCCTTTGGGACACCTGTGAATACCCCTGGCTTCTGCTGGGCTGGTCCCCTGGCTGGGACAGAGTTCTGCCCTCTGCTTCACCCTCTCTCCAGTCCCTGCCATTTGGCCACTGGGTCCTTCTCTCTCTTACCATGTCACTTAGGATCCAGCCCAAAAAAGCAAAGAGCTTTATTTTCCCCTTGACATGCCCCAGAGCTGCCTCAGAGACTCAGGAATACAGTATGGGGCAGCTCCACTGCCTGATGGCAGAGCTGGTGACTGAGAGCTGAGTGCCAGTCTGCCCTGTTCAGACCGCAGGGACACCTCCTCAGGCTACTGCCTCTCCTCTCTGCCCTCCTCAAATCTTCCTCTACCTTCAAGCCCATCATTTCCTGGGCCAGGTGATTTAGAGATCTCCTGATTGTCCGCTGTGACCAGGATCCCAGAACCTTGTCTGGTGTATTCAAGGGCTCATCTGGCTGCTAAACAGAGGGGACTCCTTCCAGAGGCAGGGTTCTTTGTCACTCTTTGTCAGTGAGTCACAACCAAACACTTCTCATCTCCTACCTTAGAGGCACACCAGCTGGTTTAGAAGCATCACCTCAGTGGCAAAAGGAGGAAGAGCTCTGGGGTTCCCACTGGCCTCAAACACATCTTGCCCTCAGCAGTCCAACCTCTGAGATAGCAAAGCTGCAACTGTGCCCAAGGGCCTCCTAACCTGGCAGAGGAAGAGATGAGGGCCCACCCTTGTGAGAGGGGCGGGGCCCAGACCCCTTCCCCCATTCTCTCTGCAGGGTCTCTATCCTGCATAGGCCAGCAAGACAGTGCTTGGCCCCCTGGAACAGAATAAGTGTACCTTTCATTTGTAAACTTCTTTGTCCCGTGATCCTCCTGCTGGAGGCCTCATTGTTATTTATATTATTATTATTCTCTGGAGCTAAAACTCAAGGGAGCCTTTCAGAGGGGCTCATTCTAGGGAGGATCAGTTGCCCCCACAGACAAGGATCTGGCAAGCTGCTGGCTCTGACTGGCTCTTTCCCTCTCTTCCCTTCTCTGCTGCTTTTGCCCACAAAGCGTTGGTTCTCATTTTGCCAGCCCTCAGTGGCCTTCTCAGAGAGTGAGCCAGAAAGGGGTGGGTGGAGGAGGCCCTTTGCTGATGCTTCTGACCAGGGCCAGCATGGGTCCAGTCCTGAGCATGGCTCTGCGCAGCCGGGCACCTCTGGGCTTCCATTTCTCTCCAGTGAACAGGCCACCACCTCTTGTCTTTTCCACTATTACATAACATAGCACTTAGCACATTTTGAGCACATAGCAAGTACTCAAAAATTATTTTTTTTTAGTAATTGTATGTCTATTTACATGTTATACATAGTAGCAACTAAGTATCAGTAAGTGAGTGTCTTTCTCCCCAATCAAAGGAGATCGTTTCCAGATGGTTGGTTAGCGTGACAGTGGTGGAAGCCAGAAGTGGGAGGGTGTGTGAGCATGTCTAAGTGGGGCTGGGAGAGCTTCATGCGCAAGGCCCCCATTTTCCCAGCCCTAGATTCTCCCAGGAGAAAGTCAGAGCCTGGGCACTCGAGGTTGCTGGGGCAAGTCATGGGCTCCATAGATTCTATGTTCATCATCTATTTGCACATTATTTATACTTCNGCTGGGAGAGCTTCATGCGCAAGGCCCCCATTTTCCCAGCCCTAGATTCTCCCAGAAGAAAGTCAGAGCCTGGGCACTCGAGGTTGCTGGGGCAAGTCATGGGCTCCATAGATTCTATGTTCATCATCTATTTGCACATTATTTATACTTCTATATGTAGAAAAAAAAATCTGAGGCTCTTATGTACATCTGCAGAGGAGAAGGGTGCTACATTATCATTACAGATACTTTCCCTCTGCTCAGAAGGAACTCTGAAGGAACTTTGAGAACTCGCTTCCAGCCAGGAAGGAGCAGGACCTGACCGTTGTTGGATGCAGCACCCCATCTCTGAATCTGACCCTCACCCTCCCCATCTCCCTCCATGCTCGGACCTCACTTCTCCCAGGCCCTTCCTCAAGTACTGAGTATTCTCTCCCTCACCCTACCTCATCCCTGAGCTTCATCCTATATGTGGGCTCACTCTATCACTATTCCAAGTCTAAGAAAGGAAAAAGGAAGGCAGGCAGGTTCATTTAGGTGTTAACAAAATACCCTTGAAGCGACATTGCTGTGTCAGTGTGGCCACATCAAAATGGCTCAGCAAAGTGGTTTTGGCAAAGGTCCTGTGCCTCAAGCCTGCAGGTCAGCATAGGATGCTGCCCAGATTAAGGCTTGCATCCACTCACTCAACCAGCTCCCCAGTGTTTCTGGTAAGATGATCCTTCGGTTCAGGAAGTGAAACCCTTGACTCAGGAGTAGAAGTGTCTGAAGATGTCATTGGGCACTTTCCTCCTTTTGTCCCCTCCTCACTTTTCCTGTGAGTTGGGCTCTGTTTCCTTCTTCGGTCAAAGGAACTCTGAGGTCTCCTGCCCTCCTACTTACTCTGTGAAGACTCCAATTCATCACTGTTACCAAAGCCTTCATATCCCTTGTGGGAGGTTGGAAGGAATAACTAGGAAGGGTTGCCTTTGTCAACCTAAATAAGGAGGTAACTGAGGCAAGCTTGAATTTACCAGAAATTGAGTTGATTCAGGAATAACAGAGGAATAACCACTGAGGAAAGGCAGGCTTTTGTGAGCTCTAGGCTAATGGGTTGAGGGTTTGAGGTCGGCTGTATCTACTGGCAAAGAGAACAAGGTGGGCGTGTCCGCTCAGAGTCCAAGCAGTAAGTTCATTGGTTTGCGGATGGGAGAGATTCTTGGTGGATGTTCATTACATCGGAGGTAAGTCTCCATCTTCCGCCAATTAAGCATCTATGGGAACTCAGTCTCTCAGTTCTGAAGTTCTGTTTTCCAGAGGACACATGCCTGAGATTTGCCCTTTCATGTCTCTGGGTCCATTTTAGACTGAAATCCTTCCACACCTGACATAGAGTCCCAGATGGCCCACAACCATGGCTCTGTGGGGCGGGAGCGCAGGGCAGGGGGCGGGGGAGGGAGGTCTCCATCCATCCTAGGAAACTTTGGAGCAGTAAAAGGGGTTTCTCTTTATAGGACATTGCCCTGGAGATCTTTTTCCAAAACGGATATTCCAAGTTTCTTGTCTTCCACAACAGTGATCGAAGTAAAGTCTTCAAAAGGTAAGAATTTGAAAATCCTCCGCCAAGGAAACTGATCATGAACCAACAGCAGCAGAACGGCTCTGTTCTCAGGAGATTGTTCTCCACCCACAGTGAGCAGGATTTAGGTTAGACTCGAGAAAGAACTTACCTGCAGAACTCTTGAGTTATGGAACAGAGTAAAGAGAAAACCATAAAAAGCTCCTTCTCTCAATCCTGGAAAACAGGCTCTATTTCATGAACTGAAGTAATTTGGGACAGTAAAAACTGAAGGAAAGAAAAAAATGTGCAGACACAACATATTTAATCAGTCTTCCAGAATTTTCTGGCTTTATTTTTTAATTTTCCAAGTAATTTTTTTTTTGGCTTAATCGTTCTTGTTGATCCCAGTTGCCAATTTTAGTTGCTCTGACTTCATATTTCACTGGAAAGAATTCCTAACAACTGATTTCCCACTTCTGCACGGAACATCTTTTTTTCTTAAAGAGAGAAGCATACTGTCTTTGTTTAACTTTACGTTCTCCAAAGAGATTAATCAATCTAAGAAATTTAAGCTAGATCTTAAATTTTATATTTATATTATTAAAGTTAGAGATATGTGAGTGTGCAAAGAATCTAGAAGGGGTTAAAAGGTAGGTTCCTAGCCATGAACAGATGACGCAGAAGCTGGGTTAATAGAGGAGTGGTCATATTCAGCTCCACCTGGGGCTAAAAGTCCTGAGGTGAGATTTAACATCCCTAGCCTGCATGTTCCGGGCGATTTTGTGCTCAGAGATTCTAGCCTTACCTTCCTGCTGGCCCTGGCCTATCACTGGCACCAGGACCAGCTGCTGAGTCCCAAGGGCAGAACCAGAGTGGAGAAAACAACTCTTGCAGAGAGGCCATCTGAGCCAGCTCTGGGCACATCTCCATTGACTGTGATTCTCCCTTTGAGGCTCTTCCAAAGACTGCTGTTATATCACCCCCTAAAATGTCTTCAAGTTCCATTTTAAACCAAACTGAAGAAGTAGACAGGCAACGCTGAACCTCACGTTCATGTTCCCCTATGATTTCTATGTGCTACACGAAGCTTTTCACAGTTGAGCTAGAAGTCTTCTGCATCCATAGCTCAGGCAGTGAATGGTACCAACCATACCCCACCCTTGTTCAAGGAGCATTAAAGCGAGATGGCACCTGCCCCTGGAGTATGGCAGTGGTGGCTGAGATCGGCAGTGGAGATGCCTGTGCCCAGCCCAGAGGAGGTCTCTAAAACACGTAATTTTGATTGCAACTATTGTTTTATTGTTATCATTGCTGTTATTTAGGCCGGAACATCTATTGGCAAAGGGTGCTAATGGGGTGCCTCAGAGATACACCCAGATCTGGGGACAGATGGGGCTCACTGGAAGGGCAAGAATGAACCTGATCTCTAGCCTGCTTCCGAAAATGTTTTCCTGGTGGTGGAAGGGTCCTGACTCTGCTGGTAGAATAATCCTTTCCCTTTTTGTCTAGCTTCTGCTCCTTCCAACCCAGCTTGAAAGGAAAAGGCTTCACGGAGGACGCGCTCAATCTAAGGTAACAGGTACAGGGAGGGGGCCAGCCATGTGCTCTGGGCAAGGTGTTGGCCTTGCTCTGATTTTCTTTATTTTCCTGATCCTCCTACCAAGAAGGCATGCAGAGAGCACGTCAATCTGCCTGCCACTTAATTTTTCACCCTCCCTTCCCCATATAAGCTGCATCCTCCTGTAGTTCCTTCTGCAGTTAAACTTCCAGAGACTTGAAGTCCCAGGTGTTCTGTGTCTTGTTCAAACCAAAATGGCAGGAAGCTGCCCTCCGCCTGTGGTGGGTGTGGGTGGGTTGCCCATAGAAGTGTCGACCTAGGCCCAACCTTGGTGTCAGGGCTGCATGTTGGGGTGTGAGCAGTCCCAGGTCTGTGCTTTCTATCTGAGACTCTGAAATCTCAGAAGGTAAATAAATAGATGTATGGTGATGTGCGAATCAGACACTAATTTGTGAATCTATGATATGGAGCATCTTTAAATGCTTACAGCTCCTTCCCCAGGCCCCCCTTTACAAGTACCATGTTTCTCTGGAAGCCAGTGCTGTATCAGTGGGTGCTTTTATTTCAGTCAGGAAGGGGAATAGGAAAAGGATGGTGGTTGCTGGTTTTCTCTAGGATTGTGTAGGCCTCAGGCCAAGGGGAGTTGTGTTCAGAATATTTATAATGACTATGGAACGGGTGCCATCAAGTCATTCACAGTTATGTATCCATGGCTGGTTATGTCTGGTGCTTGTTGCTAGACAGAGGAACACAGAAAATACTCAAAATCTCCCTGTTTATTGTGTTTGCATTCTTATGAGAAAAAAAGCAAAGTGAGTGAAATGTAAAGCATGTTAGAGAATGATATGTATAAAAACTAGTTGGTTTTGAAAGCATAGGAGGGTTTGAAATCTTAGGAGGATCGGGAAAGCCCTCTTCAAGAAAGTTAATATTTGAATTAAGACTTGAACGAAGTGGGGAGACAAGTTATTCAGATAACTGAAGAAAACATTGTAGGCCAAAGGAAGAGCAGAGCAAGGACCTCAAGGGTGGTGAAGTGGGCCTGGCTGGGGCCACAGTGGTTGGGGTGCAGAGAGCCAGTGGGAACAGAGATGAGAGAGGTATCAGAGCTCATGTAAGCCTTGGGGGCTCACGCTAATGGCATCAGCTTTTACTCTGAGTAAATGGGAAGTGTTGGAGGGATCTTGTGACCTAACTTATATTTTCAGAGACTTATTTTGTCTGCTGTGTCAAGAACAGAACACAGTAGGTCAAAGGCAGAAGCTGTAAGATTGGTTAGGAAACTCTTGTAGTAACACAGATCAGAGATGGTGATGCCATACACAAAAATAAACTCAAAATAATTAAAGATCTAAATTTAAGGTCAGAAACTATAAAAGTCCTAGAGGAAAACATAGGCAAAACACTCTCTGACATAAACCACAGCAGGATCCTCTATGACCCTCCTCCCAGAGTAATGGAAATAAAAACAAAAATAAACAAATGGGGCCTAATTAAACTTAAAAGCTTCTGCACAACAAAGGAAACTATAAGCAAGGTGAAAAGACAGCCTTCAGAATGGGAGAAAATAATAGCAAATGAAGCAACTGACAAAGAATTAATCTCCAAAATATACAAGCAACTCTGCAGCTCAATTCCAGAAAAATAAATGACCTAATCAAAAAATGGGCCAAAGAACTAAACAACTTTTTTCCAAAGAAGACATACAGATGGCTAACAAACACATGAAAAGATGCTCAACATCACTCATTATCAGAGAAATTCTAATCAAAACCGCAATGAGGTACCATCTCATGCCAGTCAGAATGGCTGCTATCCAAAAGTCTACAAACAATACATGCTGGAGAGGGTGCGGAGAAAAGGGAACCCTCTTACACTGTTGGTGGGAATGCAAACTAGTACAGCCACTATGGAGAACAGTGTGGAGACTCCTTAAAAAACTGGAAATAGAACTGCCATATGACCCAGCAATCCCACTTCTGGGCATACACACCGAGGAAACCAGATCTGAAAGAGACACGTGCACCCCAATGTTCATCGCAGCACTGTTTATAATAGCCAGGACATGGAAGCAACCTAGATGCCCATCAGCAGACGAATGGATAAGGAAGCTGTGGTACATATACACCATGGAATATTACTCAGCCATTAAAAAGAATTCATTTGAATCAGTTCTAATGAGATGGATGAAACTGGAGCCCATTATACAGAGCGAAGTAAGCCAGAAAGATAAAGACCATTACAGTATACTAACGCATATATATGGAATTTAGAAAGATGGTAACGATAACCCTATATGAGAGACAGCAAAAGAGACACAGATGTATAGAAGTCTTTTGGACTCTGTGGGAGAAGGTGAGGGTGGGACAATTTGAGAGAATAGCATTGAAACATGTATATTATCAAGTGTGAAACAGATCGCCCATCCAGGTTCGATGCATGAGACAGGGTGCTCAGGGCTGGTGCACTGGAATGACCCAGAGGGATGGGATGGGGAGGGAGGTGGGAGGGGGGGTTCAGGATGGGGAACACATGTACACCCATGGCTAATTCCTGTCAATGTGTGGCACAACCACTGAGATATTGTAAAGTAATTAGCCTCCAATTAAAATAAATTTTAAAAACAGATGGCTTGGATTGGGGTGGATGGCAGTAAAGATGGTGTGAAGTGCTCAGATTTTGGACCTATTTGGACGTGATTAAAGGTACTTCTGGTGGGATTTGTTGACAAGTCAGTTGTGGGTGGCTTATATGTATATGAGAGAAAGCGCTTAAGGATAAGACCAAGCATTAGGGCTTGAGCAATTGGAAGATGAAATGGAGAAGACCACAGGAAAAGCTACTTTGGGGAAGTAGTAGATATCAGGGGCTCAATTTTGGATGTGTTAATTTTGAGATGCCTGTCAGCTATCCAGGTGGAGATGTCATTCAGGTCATTGGATATATGCTTTGAAATTCAAGGCAGAGTTGCTCTGGAGACATACATACCTAAGCTTGTGGGAGACGAACTTTGACAAAATGAGGAAGCTGGAGAGCTGGTCCTAGGCTCTGGGGCCACGCAGATAGGGCACATGGTGAGGCTGTGCTACTATGGCCAGCCATAAGCTTAAGGATCAACCTGATTGGGGCTCATAGTAAGTGTTCAATAAATGGTAATTCCTTTGCTTAGTTTTAGAATCAACTGCTGTGTATTTTGGGCATGTGTACGGAGCAATTGATTAAATACAGGCATCTGTTTTCTCAACTCTTTTGAGTCTCTCCAAGCCCTTCTCCTAGCAGCCAAAGGATGCTTTCATGAGTTTCAGAGGGTAAGGCAGTGGTGGCTCCCAGCCTTAGAAAGCCATGGCTAGCCATTGCCTTATGCCTGGAATGAACTTGGCCATTTTTTATTTGGATTACCAAGGATAATGCCCAGTCTACACACTGAGTCTTTAAAAATGCCTAGCTGCACTCTGGACACTTTAGAGAATGTGAGCTTCTCTTCTTTGAAGGAGGTGCATGGTCCATTCTGCGGGTTTTCACCTGGGCCAGGATGCTTGGCTATCCTACAGGTTTTTGTATCTTCAACCCCCAGCTCTTCATAACTGGCTTAGTCTCTCTAGAGACCATCTCACATGTATAGGAAACCAGATCTTTTGGGTACCAGAATTTTTCCTGGAATTTCAGTGACAATGGCTGCCTCCATATCTGAATTCCAAGGATAGTCTACAGACTTGGGTCCCAAATGGAAAATATTGGATTGGCCAAAACATTCACTCGAGTTTTTCCTTAAGATGGTGCAAAAAACCCAAATGAACTTTTCGGCCAACCAGGCTACCTAGGGTAGCCTGGGATCCATAATCCATCTGTGTTTCCCCATTGTACCAATGGACCATTCTAAAGGCAACATGGTGGCATAATCAGACATTTGTGGGGGCCAAGGCTCTGCAAGAATATAGGAGTTTCCAACATAAAGCCAGCTGGACCCCCCTGGACATGTGTCTGATGGCCAGAAAGCTCCACGATGTTAAACACAGGCAGGCTGTGGGCAGATGTGAGAATAGCTGAAGTTAGAGGGAAAGGGAACTTAGTAGGAAATAAACATGTGAAGAAACACACATCTTTATACTTAAAGATATCTGCATCCTTCCACAAAGGGCTGGAAATAGTTTCTAAACAAAATATGGGGTATAATGATTCTTTACGAATTATCCCTAAACTCCTTTAAAGGACAAAAACATAGATGTGATATCAGGTACCCAAAGTGATCTAGCTTCTCTTATTGTCCTGAAACTAAGAAAACCCAAGCAATTGTGCTAGGTTACATCATTTCCCAGTGACAGATAATAAGATACAGATGGTGTGAAAGATAGCTTTTTTTCTGGAACATACTTTCCCTTGGCACTGATAAATAGGGTCATGGATAACAAAGAAGTTAATTCCCTTGTTTATAAAATATGAATAAAAAGCACTGAAGAATATAATTTTCTATATTGATTCACTGAAAAATAGAGCCCTAACATTTGGACTTCTTTCTGTACAGACATTTCTTTGGGATGCTAACATGATCTGGCTCAGTTCCATTCATTTCTGGTGATCTCAGCTCTTATTGAGCTCAGAGTTTACAAAGCTCAGAGAAATGAAAGGCCCAGATGCCTATCTGACTCTTCCTCTTTCTCAAATCTCTGTTGCACACTACTCACATCTTTGAATGAGCTAGAGGCATCCTTCCATATTCATAGTCCCTTCCACAGCCATGGTCCCTGAGGTCTGAAATATTCACTTGCCACATCAGTAAGACAAAAGTGTCCCTGGGCTGGAGGAAATTGTAGGTTGTAAGGCAGGGCTTATATTTGGGGCCTCACTGTATTCATAAATTCTGAAAGGTTTCCTCAGTTTTATAGCTAACTTAAATGTAATGGTTAGGATGAAATTCATTTTTTGGCACTAAGTTCTGCAGTTGAGTAAGTAGTGTCCTTTATAGATTTCCTTTAATGAATGAGTTTCCTTCGTAGAATATCTTCGTAGAAAGAAGTTATAAAACCAAACATAAGAAGCCATACATCCCCATAAGAAGAGGATCTTCCATGATAATCAGGGCATCACTGTTAGCAGCATGGAGGCTAAATTTCAAGTACTCCATCTTCCCATTTCTGCTGCTTCAGTCACTACTCTCCAGAGATTGTCACTGATGACCAGCTGGGAGGCTCAGAGTCTGTAATGTGCATGGTTACTTTGAAAAAGAGAACTTCAGCTGCATCACTGAGTTGGAGAAACATGCTCCATGGGCATCTTGGCGAAGCACAGCCCTAGGAGGGCAGTAGTAGGGGCTGCACAACTCAGACCCTGGGGTTAGAGCAGAACCGCTAGAACCAGAGGTGAACTAAACCCCATGGGGAATAGCCAATGCCCTGGCATTATGGAGCTTCTCACATGGCTGGCTCAACAGGTAATGGGCAGTGGAACCGGGTGACCAGAGGTGAGCTCTGCCTGGGTTCTGCTCAGATCTTGGTTCAGGCCCCATTTGTGTTGCTCCTTGTCTTTATTGTTCATATTTCCTCTTAGCTGTATTCTTATCCATGCATGCATGTGTGCTAAGATGCTTCAGTCATGTTCGACTCTTTGCGACCCTATGGACCATAGCCTGCCAGGCTCCTCTGTCCATGGGATTCTCCAGGCAAGGAAACTGGAGTGGGTTACCATGCCCTCCTCCTAGTGATCTTCCCAACCCAGGGATCAAACCCAAGTCTTGTGTGTCTCCTGCATTGGCAGGTAGGTTCTTTACCATTAGTGCCACCTGAGAAGCCCTATCCTTATCCATGACCTCAGACCTATTTTGAGGCAGAGGTATAACTGAAGTCCTCTCTGCACCAAGCCTGGCCCCTTTTTCCAACCAGCTTCACCTGGTCAACTGCCCACATGGGGTAATGGACAGGTATGTTAAAGTTCAGAATTGTGAAAGGAACATTTGCTGACTCATGGTCCCCCTACCCCATTTGCTGCTTGTGCCTAGCCACCACCAGAAAATCTGGAGCACAGATCAAGAAGCCATGCATTGTCTTTTTATTATTTTAACATCTTTCTCAGGAATATTCAAGGATAAGATCAACATGGATAATTTTACATTAGTCCAGTGATCTGAAGTTAAGGTGCTTTTTCCCCTAAAATGCCTTGACTCTTTGGGAGAAGAACTTTAAGCTTGCCATAGTTACTCATAAGTTAGCACTTGGCAGATACAGAAAGATCTGTTTATCATTTCATATAGCCTGTAAGATTTTTTGTTTGTTTTTTAATTTTAATTTTTATTACCAATAATATTTTGTATTAATATACAAAATATATTAATTTTTTGTATAGCTGATTAACAATGTTGTGGTAGTTTCAGGTGAACAATAAAGGGACTAAGCCATATATATACATGCATCCATTCTCCCCCAAACCCCCTCCCATCCAGGCTGGAACATAACTTGGAGCAGAGTTCTATGTGCTCTACAGTAGGTCTTTGTTAGTTATCCATTTTATTTTATTTTTTTCCATTTANGTGGTCTCCCCATCCTATTCCGCCATCTTGGCTCCTCTACCTAGTTATCCATTTTAAATATACTAGTGTGTACATGATCTTTAAAATGTTTTTATTTTAAAAGAACTATAGATTCACAGGAAGTTGCAAAAGTAATACAGAGAGACGCTATGCAGCCTTCATTCAAATTCCCCACAATGGTTAAACCTTGTGAAACTCTAGTACAGTTTCAAAATCAGGAAATTGATGTTTGTACAATATGTTTGCATACTTCTTTGTCATTTTATCATATGAGTAATTGTGGATGTTGATAGTGGTGGTGGTTACAAGCATCTACACAAAGGTATCTCTTATGCTACCACTCCATGGTGATGACCACCCTCTAATACCCGCCATCATTCTTAACCCCTGGCAACCACTGGTCTGTTTTCCATCTCTACCATTTTGTCATTCAGAGAATTTTGTATAAATGGAATCATAGAGTATGTGACCTTTGGAACTAGGCTTTTTTTTAAATTCAGAATAATGCCATTGAGAGCCATCCAAGCTTTGTGTTATGTCATATGTTCCTTTTTATCTTTGAGTAATATTCCATGATGTGGAGCAAACCTTTCCCTGGCAGAAAGGACAGAGGAATAAAATGTAGAAGATGCCTCGTAACCAGAGCTGGTTTAACCACTTGCCTATTGGGGGAAATTTGCTTGTTTCTAGTCTGCAGCTGTTACAAATAAAGAAACTGACATTTAATATAATTATTAAGATGTTAGGTCTGCCAAATTTTATTTTTTATTACCTACTTTTCTCTCTATTGTACATTTCTGTCTATTTTTCCTGCCTACCTTTGCATTACTGAAAGATCTGTTAAAATTCTGCATCAATTTATCTATAGTATTCTTGAGGTTTTCTGGTATAAATTCTTTGTACAGATTTTAGTTGCTTGCAGTATTACATTATACATATTTAATTATCTGAGGCAATTGGTGTTGGGATCTTACCAGTTAAAGTGAAGTGTAAAGACCATAAATCTTTTAAGTCTTAAAGTCTTTTTTTAAATCTTTGTCTATAGTTTATATATATCATTTTCTTAAATATTTCCTCTATATACATTAAAAAGAAACCACACACCAAGTATTTCCCAAAGTCATTTTCACACACAAGTAATCTAACGCAAGAGAAGCAAAATCAATTTAAAAAACAAATCAGTGGTTTGGCCAGCACTGGAGAGCCTGGCTTCCGGAATGTTCCCCTTGCCACTCTCTCTCTTCTCCTAACTGAGGGCTTTTCTTCTTCAGAGCTGTTTACTCTTGTGAGCTGATTAGTCTTCAAGTTTTTGCCATAAGCTACTCTAGGGTGATGTTGAGCGTATCCTGGGGATGAAGACACAAGAGGCCAAGGCAGTTACTCCAAATCATGGAGGAGAAACACAGCAAAGGCAGAGGTCACACAAGGATCACCTAGGTCATGCCTGGCTTTCAGAGAGGGTGGTGACTGGGTTAGCAGGAATGAGGGTTTTGTTCTGTTTGAGGAAAGAGGAAACCCTGTGGTTTTCCTATCAAGTATTTTGGGGCCTAATACACTCTCTAGGAAGTAAAGGTGACTGTGGTATTTTAGGGCATGAGGGAGCATCATCATTAAACCTTTCCCTGACAAAAAGAGGAATAAAATGTAGAAGAAGCTTCATAACTGAGCTCTGTCTCCCAGCTTCACTCATAATATTGCCAGGGTTTCCTGATGAACCAGAGGTCTAAGGTAAATGTATCCTTGGGCATATCAAAGGCCCCTGCCCATTTATTTCTCAGTCCTGGTGACGTTCAATGCACTTGAAACCCCTTCCTGAGACATGGCTCTAAGAACAAAAGTAGCATAAAGCACAAGACCAAAGATGGCAAAAAGGTGTCAGTTGGAGGTAAACCCAGGAGAGGCGCTAGAGAGAGATTTCGCAAACCAAGCACAGTGGGGGAAGTTGTTAGAACAGAGCAGAAGGGGTAAAGGAGAAATCTGTGTTCCAGACTAAGACCCTTTGTAGGGGAAACAGGTAGATTTGTCTCCTTAACTCATTAATTCTAAAGAAAAAGTGTCTCAAGTGGGAGGAATGGAAATGGGCAGCATCCACATACATCTTCTTGTTCAGATCAAATGCCCTTGCATGGCTTCTGTATTTCTTGGGTCAGAGATGAAGTAGCTAAACTAGCGGGGTGGCTATTTAGGGATGTGTTCAAGGCCTGACATTCTGGTGGGGTCTCCTGGGCCTCAACCATGACATCTCATTATTCATTTCACAGTCATGTGTCCTCTAGTCATCTATAGAAGGGATTCTAAGAAATCATTTTGGACTTTAAATGAAGAAGAAAATATAAAGGTTGACATTCAGGACTCACAAGAAGGCAATGAAATGAGTTCTCTAATATATTACTGGTAGACTGATAAATGGGTGCAAGCATTTTATAAGCTACTTAGTAGCATATATCAAAAATTGTTTTAAAAACATACACTTTAGTACAATATTTGCAATAATGAAGATATATCAAGGAAATAATGCAAAATATTTTAAAGATTTTAGTCATACAGGCTTTATCACAAAACGATTTGGTAAGTGACCTAAATGTCCAACAAGAGCTTAGTTATATATATCTATGTTTGACTATCTTGCAGATGTTTTAAATTAGGGTTATTGAGACCATGCAGCCATATGTGTTTCAAAGGAGGATAAAAATGATGTGAATGTTATTATTTTATCTATGCATAAAAATATACACAGAAAAATAACTAGTAGGGAAATCTGTCAATATTATAGCTGACTTACACTTTAGAGCTGTGGATATTTAAGCTGCTCTGTTTAAAACTATGCTGTGGTATTCTTACTTTTATAATAGACAACATTTAATAAACAAGAAAAACTATAAAGGAAATTTTGAATCTGTATCTTCAGAGATTTTAGAAGTATAATACAGTAGTCAAGCATTTCTAAGGAAAATAAGCAATGAGGAGTGAAGAAAAGAAATGTGCTGTCTGCTGTGGTGTGTATAACATGGAAAAGAAATACATTAGTTGTAGCAAACTAATTGATATCTATTAAATCTCTCAGTGCTTTTCCACTGATGACTACAAAACTTGTTGTCAGCTCAGGAAAGCCTTGATTTAAAACAACAAACAACAAGAAACTTTTCTAAAGTTATCTTCCCTTTCTTTTAGGCAGTGTAAAAGTGTGAGTGAGTGGTACAGAGAAAGTCCTCAGCTATTGTGAGTTCTGCAAGCAGATCTAGAGTGACTAAAGGCACTGTCCAAAGTGGGATCTCTGCTCTGAGATGCCCTGAGCTCTAGTTCTTAGAGAGAACTGACTTATACTGAGTACTCACTCTCATGAGCTATCTGCTTGAGATGCATGACAACCCTTGGAGTCGGGCTGGTGTTATTTCCACCGTACAGATGAAGGAACCAAAGCTAAGCAAAATGCCCAGGGAGGTAGCAAGTAAAAAGCAAAGCTTCCCTGGGCCCAGATCTGTCCAACTGCAGAAACTTTATCTTATCTCTGTGCCAGGTTAGCCCTGCACACCACTAGGCTCTGATCTCTTAACTTCCTCAAACAATGACATTATGCCCTGTCTTCTTTCTACCTGCCTTTCCTACAGGTCGCAAAGGGCAGGACAAGCTTTCCCCCACAGGACACAGTCCCTGAACGTACTAGCACAGTGCCTAGTAAGGTATTTATCTATTGACTGCAGCAACCCCTATTTTTACCCATCCTTTCCTTATTCCGCGAAGGTATGGAAAAGCATTGCACATCATTAGATGGGAGTGAACCTCATTCATTCACAGACAGTCAAGGGCTTGCAGGTTTAGTCTAAAAGCTACTAGAGCAAATTATGCAAATGTAGAAAAGAGAAAAGAATAGGACTGCTTTGAGCGCAAAATGTTAATGCAAATTCTTAATGATAATATCTGCCCAACTCTGTGGCCCAGTTTTGTCCCCTCCCCAAGACTAAATGTCCATCTGCCCTGCTACCAACCAATGTTTAGAGATGCCTGACTTTTGAAGCCCTGGCCCAAAGCATTCCAGGAGAAAAAGCTCCACACTGGGGAACTGGTAGTTGATCCTGAAACCTGTGATAATGAGACAAGACTGTGTCAGCTGCCCAGGCCACAGGCTGTAGGCAAGAGAGGTCTAGAGCAAAAATGAGATGGATGGCCCTTTCCAGATTCATTGTGCCTGTATGTGTGGATGTGTACATGGAGAGAAGACAGAAGTGTATGAAATGGCAAAGAACTAAAACCCTTTTGATCAACAAAATCACAAGCCAAGGAGGTAGGGAAAGGTATTTTATGGGCGTGGTTGGAGAAGCTATTGCAGTAATGGCAGGATCTCTCAGTTTTCTGAGGATGCAGCCCATTGTCACCTTCCCTCCCCCTCCCTTTTCCCTTCCTGCTTAAGGGTCAGGGTCCCAGATCACCTCCAATCTTCTTGGGATTCCTTGGCCATGGAGTTGGGTGAGACCAAAGTGGAAAAGATGGCTCTTAATGATAATATCTGCCCAACTCTGTGGCCCAGTTTTGTCCCCTCCCCAAGACTAAATGTCCATCTGCCCTGCTACCAACCAATGTTTAGAGATGCCTGACTTTTGAAGCCCTGGCCCAAAGCATTCCAGGAGAAAAAGCTCCACACTGGGGAACTGGTAGTTGATCCTGAAACCTGTGATAATGAGACAAGACTGTGTCAGCTGCTCAGGCCACAGGCTGTAGGCAAGAGAGGTCTAGAGCGAAAATGAGATGGATGGCCCTTTCCAGATTCATTGTGCCTGTATGTGTGGATGTGTACATGGAGAGAAGACAGAAGTGTATGAAATGGCAAAGAACTAAAACCCTTTTGATCAACAAAATCACAAGCCAAGGAGGTAGGGAAAGGTATTTTATGGGCGTGGTTGGAGAAGCTATTGCAGTAATGGCAGGATCTCTCAGTTTTCTGAGGATGCAGCCCATTGTCACCTTCCCTCCCCCTCCCTTTTCCCTTCCTGCTTAAGGGTCAGGGTCCCAGATCACCTCCAATCTTCTTGGGATTCCTTGGCCATGGAGTTGGGTGAGACCAAAGTGGAAAAGATGGCTTTTCTTGGTGTCGCTGTGGCCATGCTCTTGATTTTGTTCAGCTTGTCCCGGGCCTGTTGGCATTTTCTCAGGCAAGACCCACACAGATCCTTCTCTTCCACCAGATATAGGTTGTCCAGCCTCCTGATGGAATCCACAAACATATCCGACGACTCTGCCTTGGGAAAGGGATTTCGCTTTGTGTTGAGCTTTTTCAGCTTGGGGAGCTTGGAGATGCTGTTGGGAATGTTGCTCAGCAGGTTGTCATGGAGCCCCACCTCATGGAGCTCCCTCAGAGCACCCAGTGTGGTGGGCACGCTGTCCAGATGGTTCAGGCCTAAATTCACAGTGCGGACATTCTTGAGCTGGTTGAGCTCTACGGGCAGCCCGTTGGTGGTCAGCCTGTTGTTGCTGACGTTGAGGTAGAGCAGAGAGGTCATCTGACCGATGGTCTCGGGGAGCTTGTCAATATAGTTGCTGTGCAAGTCCAGCCACCGCAGGTTCTGGAACTTGGAGATGGCATCAGGAATCTTCTTGATCAAATTCCGGCTAAGGTCGAGCTCATCCACATCAGTGAGTCGCAAAATACACTTGGGAAAGGTGGTAATTCCCATCTTGCTCAAGTCAAGACGTTTCTTTCCATCAAATGTGATCTTGATACAATTCTTGGCCACAGCGAGGGTGATCTTTTTGCCCTTGGGGCCTTTTGCTCCCTTGGCCATGTTCTTTTAGTAAAGGAAGTATGTTGTTCTCATTGATTGGTGTTCAGGTAGAGGAAATATAACATGAAACTGCTAGAAGATAGACCCTGGTAAAAAGAGAAAAAATGTCCAGTCAGATGATTTAAGGTTACTGGACTACCCCCAAATCATAATGTTCTACATCTAATGGTTTAAAAGGAGAGAAAGAGGAGAGTGGAGAGAAGCTAGGCCATTAGCAGAAGGAACCTAGCCGAAGACCTCCAGCAAATTGAATGCCCTCCTCACACCTCATGCTCCCAGATGTAAAATGGGAGGTCCAAGGTTGACCTGAAGGATGTTCAGTGCCCCTCCGGCTATGCCATTCCCTGACTTATATCTTGGATTATTACATACACCCCCTTCTGGGTGTGCGTTGGGGGCAGAGTAATGTCTTAGATATGTGCCCTTTCCCCAATCCTCATATAAATCTAGTCTTTTCTTCGAGTTATCCTATGAATCCCTAGGGTGGGACTGCTGAGTTGTCAGAGGCAATATAGCCTTCATATAAAGGAGTAAGGTGGAAGGAGTTAATAATGACTTACGTATTACATCTGTCTTCACCTTTTGGACCCAGAGGAGCTAGTCACTGCTACGATAATTGCGGTGTAATAAAAGTGGCACAGAAAAGCCCCCAAGTAGGAGAATGTGTATACACCAAGCCCATGAGCACAGAGGAGAGGGTCAGGGTAGAGCCTGGAAGAACAGAAGGCAATGCTGCCTTTTTCCACCTCCAACCACCTTGTCTTCTGCCCCTCACGTCCTTCACACTGTAATTCAACTGTAGACACCTCTGTACCAATAGATGTGATAGGACTATCACATCTAGGACTGTTAGGACAGTTAGGACTTCCACCATCAGAAAGCAGCACATACAGTGACAGGTTGATTCTGGCCTCAGAAGACTTGCTTAGAAGTCCAGTTCCACCACAAACAATTTTCTTAAATGTTCAGTGCCTCAATTTCCTCATTTGTGAAAATAGCCCCCTTTAAGAACTCTTATGGAGTATAAAGTAAACTATAAAGTGCTGCAACAGTGCCTGGTACATAGGAAAAGCCTGATTTATCTTAACTATTAAATTATTGTCAGGACCTTTGCACATACTGATTTTAATTCTCAACAATGCAGTAAGATCCATAGGCTTAGCCGCATCATAAAAAGAAGACTGAGGCTCAGGCGTGAAGAAGGTCTACAGTTAGGAAGAAGATGCAATTGGCCTGCTGGTTCTAGAAGCTCTTTTCTTTTCTACAACTTGGTGTCTCTTGCTTGCTGATTTTCTATTTTGGATCAAGTTCCCCCTGCCCGGAGGAAGCATGCTGTCAGGAGACAAAGGCACTGCCTCCATTTTTCTGCAGGGATGGGTGGGGACGTGCTCTGCACTTTCTCTGCTTCATCATCCAGGCCCTTTATCAGGAGCTATGTTTGTGTAACACATATAGTGCACGCATGCTCAGTCGCTCAATCATGACTGACTTTGCAACCCCATGAACTGTAGCCCATCAGGCTCCACTGTGGATTTCCCAGCAAGGATGTTGGAGTGGGTTGCCATTTCCTCTTCCTGAGAGGAAATCCACATTCAGACAGAATCAAACTACTCAAAATTAAAGCAAAAATTAAAGAAAAAAACAACATGTTGCATACTGTTAAACAGCAATATAAATTATTATAGGTTTCTCACTAGAAACTGTGGAGGCCAGAGGTAACTGGAAAAAATATTTTTAAATAATGCTGAGAAAAGGAACTGTCAACCAGACCATGAATGAAGACATCCTTTATGAATGAAGGCAAAATAGATAATCTGAGATGAATGAAAAATAAAGGAATCTTTAGATGAAAGAGAAACTAGAGAGAAGCTTGAACTTTGAGAATAAGGGAAGAGCAATGGAAATGATAAATATCTGATAAATATAATAGGCTGTGTTTTTTCTCCTTTTACAATTTTTAAAATACAAGTGATGGCTGAAAGTAAAAATTTTAACTATCAATGTATGTAGATGGAATGCATACCGACAACTACAACATAATAGGAGAAGTTAATGAGACCTAGATGGTAGGTAAGATTTTTAAGTTGTTTTGGAAATAGTAAAATTTAATTCTCAGTAAGCTATAGAAAGATAAGTATGTATATTTTAATCTCTAGAGCAATCAGGTGGATTATAAAATAAAAGATTCAGTTATATGCCATCTCAGTTTAAATAAACAAAAGCAAATTAAACTAAGAGAATGGGGAAGTAGACTTACTGCGCAAAGACTATAGGAAATGTGGAGTGAAACTTTTCATGACTTTGAATTTGGCAAAAGTATAACCCATAAAAGGGAATACTGACAATTTAGACCTCAACAAAACTTGAAATCCTTGCTCTGAAAGACAAACAAAACCCCATATCCACCAAAGAACTAGTATCCAGAATCTATAAAGAACTCAAGGTCAACAATAAGAAAATAACAATATAATTTTTTTTAAATGCCCAAGATATTTAATGAAACATTTCACCATAGAAGTTGTATGGATGGTTAATAAGCTGCAAAACCACAAAGTATTGTTCAGTGTCATCAGTCACTAGGGAAATGTAAATGAAAATCACAGTCAGATACCACTGCACAGTTACTAAAGTGCCTAAAACAAAAAACAAACAAACAAACAAAAACCAATAATACAAAGATTTGGTGAGTGTGTGGAGCAACTAGAATGCTCACATATTGTTGATGGGGATTCAAAATGGTAATATCACCATGAAAAAAAGTTTGGCAATTTCTGATAAAATTAACCATACACTTATTATATGACCCAGCGTTTCCCCAACTAAATACTTAACCCCCACCCCCCAAAGCCAAAAACTCAAGTTCCCATGAAAACTTGTGTTTATAATTGCTCTATTCGCTTTTGTCACAAAGGGAAACAAAAAATCTGAAGGTCTTTCAGTGCCTGGATGGATAAGAAATTGTGGCTTATCCTTATAATGGGTACTATTAAGCATAAAGAGAACAATCTACTAATACATGCAACAACTTGGATGACTCTCAAAATCATCCTGCTAAGTAAAGAAGACAGTCTTAAAAGTCTGCATAATGAACGAGACCATTTATATAGCTTTCTGGAAACATCACAACCACAGGTACAGAAACCAGGTTGTTTGTCAGGGACTAGGGATGGGGAAGGTTTGACAACAGACCTGCACAAGTGAGTTTTCTGAAGCATTGGAACTGCCTGGACCCTGACTGTGGTGGCGGCTACATGAAGCTGTACACATTAGAGCTCAGAGAACTGTATACCAAAAAACTATATACCCACTTTATTGCAGGTAAATTTAAATTAAAAAAAAAGAAAAAACCTCAATAGACTATTTCTGTCATAATCTACTTCCCATTCTCAGCCTGACTGGGAAGTCTGATTTTTTCACGCCCCAATGTTTTGCCTTTGACTGTTTGAATCACAACAAACTGTGGAAAATTCTGAAAGAGATGGGAATACCCGACCACCTGACCTGCCTCCTGAGAAATCTGTATGCAGGTCAAGAAGCAATAATTAAAACTGGACATGGAACAGCAGACTGGTTCNCTGAAGAATTGATGCTTTTGAACTGTGGTGTCGGAGAAGACTCTTGAGAGTCCCTTGGACTGCAGGGAGATCCAACCAGTCCATCTTAAAGGAAATCAGTCCTGAATATTCACTGGAAGGACTGATGCTGAAGCTGAAGCTCCGATACTTTGGCCACCTGATTCAAAGAGCTGACTCATTTGAAAAGACCCTGATGCTGGGAAAGATTGAAGGCGGGAGGAGAAGGAGATGACAGAGGATGAGATGGTTGGATGGCATCACAGACTCAATGGACATGAGTTTGAGTACTCTCTGGGAGTTGGTGATGGACAGGGAAGCCTGTCGTGCTGCAGTCCATGGGATCACAAAGAGTCGGACATGACAGAGCAACTGAACTAACTGGATGTTTTGCCTTGTAAAGGGCATCCACGTGTGTATCATGTGGGCACTGCTGGGGTATGTATGCATGCAAACCATGTGTATGGACACGCACACTTGGGGAACAGCTGTGCACAAGGTGGCATATCAGAAAAGCTGTCCTACTGCCCTTGAGTTAAAATCATAATTAAAACAAATATGGACTGAGATAGGGGGAGCCTGTGTTCTAGTCATGTTTATCAATGACTTCTCATGGTAAAGTTGCCAGATTTAACAAATAAAATTGCAAGATACCCCCATTAAATCTGAGCTTCAGATAAACAATGGACAGATTTGAGTATACATATGTCCCAAACACTGCATAGTTCTGTATTTTATTTGGCAACTCTGAAAGTATAGTTGGGTCTGAAAGCATAGCAAAGTTTCCTTTGTCTATGATTCTTGTTACTTCTTTGGGTCAAATTTGAGCCAAGTCCATGTGCTTATCCCTGCATTCATTCATTCATTTATACCCTCATTCAGTAAGTTTATTGAGACCCTACTAGGTACCTAGTCTCTATGTTATTTATACAGGTAAACAATAAATGGGGCCAGTTTCTAAACTCAAAAAGTTAAAATCTAGATTGCTACTGATTCTGGCCACCAGATTATTCTGAGCCCCAAAAAGCCCAGGCTGTCTTTTGTATTTCTTACATTTAATTAAGACAAAGTTCAGCTCAGGGAGAACAAGCACAGCAAGTAAAGGCAGAAGGCCCTAGCTGGGAAGAATGCTTCCCATAGACTGGAGATCCAACCAGTTAAGCCCAGCTGTGCCTACTCCCCGAAGCCCACCTGCTCCATGGTAAGAAGCCTCTCATCTCTGATGACTGATGGGGAGGAAGCAGCATGGAGCTATCCACAAGGACTTCTCCAAATGGGCCCTTTGACTCAGAGCCTGCTCAGTCATTCATCACCTGCAGGCAAAGTAGGGGCTAGCTGGGATAACACACTTCTCTTTCTCAGCACATATGGGCCCCCAGATAGCCCAGACCAGAAGCTGCCTGCTCAGTCCCCACCCGCTTCATGTTTCTCCTACTTTAGCTGTCTGGGACACTTGCTCTTGGCTAGGGAAAGCAGGGTTTATTGCTCAGGGTCCATTCTGACCCCTCTAAGCT